TGTGGGAAGGTGGAGAGAGGGTGGGAAGGAGGCGAGCAAAGGACAGGGGAAGGGAGGCTTCTCAGGATCTGGCCTGGCGGAGGACCGGCCGCCAGGCGCCCTCACCTAGTCCACCGGAGGACCCGGGCCACGCCGCCAGGCCCCGCCCCCCGCGGCCTCCGTCCCGCCCTCCCCGGGATTTAGTCCCGGCAGCCTGGGAGGCTCCCCAGCCGCCGCTTCCGCCTTCGCGAGGTGAGGGTCCCGAGAGGCAGGGGCGCCGGCGAGCGGGCTGGCGGGGCGGCGGTCGCTTGGGAGCACGTCCGCGGGTGCTGAGCCTCCCCTCCCCAGTCCTTACTTTCCGCGGGTGCGTCTCCTCCTGTCCCCCATCTCGTGCTTTCCCCTTCTCACCTGGCTACTGGTGCTGGTCTCCCAGCGTCCTGGGCTTTCGCCTTCCCCGCCCCTGCTCGTGCTCGATTCCTCGCCACCTCCGAGTGTCCATCTGGACCCCGCCTGGGGTCCTCCGCTTCTTCCGGGCTTCACTAAGTAGGGGGAGGGAGGGGGCAAGGTGTGTGTGCAGGCAGCCGGCACCCAGAGCACCTAGAGCCTTATTTAATAAAGATCGGTGGAGTTGCCCTGGAGCCAGGTTAGAGCGAGTGACTCAGGTGTGCCGGCCAGGCTCTGTACCTGGAGCTGAGCTCAGGTGGGTGTGGAAGGGACTGTGCACCTGGCAGACTGGGTGGCTCTGAGCAGTACCTGAGCTTAACTGCCCATCACAAATGCCCGATTTGATTTCAAATGTTGCTGCCTCGGGTGTAGGATAGGCAATGACCCTGGGCGTCTCTGGGCAGAGGAGGCAGTCTGCCCACATAACGTAGGTATGTGTGGACACGGTAGCTTGATGTCTTGTGTGCTGTGTGTGTTTGTGTGGACCTGGGTGTCTCAGACATGAGGCGGTGTATCTTGGAGGCAGTGAACTCAACATGTCTCAAGTAGGTGTGTGTGAGGGGTACCTGGCAGGAAGCCTGGTGTTCTATGGCAGCGTATACTGGAATGCCCCAGCTTTGAGAGGACATGTATCTGGGTGTCTCAGGTGTCTTTTGCATCATATCTATAGGTGTGTGTGTGTGTGTGTGTGTGTGTGTTGTACCTGCGTATCTCAGGTATGGTGTGGTTAGTGTATCTGGGCATCTGTGGAGTGTATGTGGTGGGTCAGGATGTCTCAGGTGTACCTGAGTGGTTGTGTACAAGGGTGCACTTCAGGCCTAAAAGGTGGTGTATCTGGGTGGCCTAGGGGTACGGGCAGTGTGCCATAATAGCTCAAAGTGAGCAGGGCCACACACCTGAAGTCTGTGCAGTGCTGAAATCTGAGGTGTGAGGAGAACATTCTTCCTGGGGTTTGTGTGTGTGAGGGGCAGGAATCCTGGTTGGTTCTGGTGTCCCTCCCTCTGTACCTGAGTATTGCTGAGGGGTTGAGGGTGGAGCAGGCAACCACGTCTCTGGTTCCTGAGTGTCTCAGGTGCCCACCCTGGGCCATGTGTCTGGGGGACAGGGCACCACAGGGGTTCCTCCTCCAGACATGCTCCCCGAGGCGGGCTCCCTGTGGCTGCTTCGGCTGCTCCAGGACATCCAGCTGGCCCAGTTTTACCGACCCATCCTTGAGGAGCTTAACGTTACTCGGCCAGAGCACTTCGACTTTGTAAGACCTGAGGATCTGGACGGCATTGGCATGGGCCGGCCTGGTGAGGGTCCCCTGCCCCAAGGCCCTGCTGTCTCCTTCCGCAGCCTGTTAGTTGCTACTCTCCTGCCCCACCACACCCACCAGCCCCCTTCTTGCCTGTAAATCCCTTGCATCCTGCTCCCCGCCTCCCCCGTTACCCCATCCCTCTGATCCTGGCCTCCCCCAGCCCAGCGTAGACTGGCTGAAGCTCTGAAGAGGCACCGTTCGGGGCTCAAGTCTAAGAACTGGGTCTACAAGGTGTGTGTGCTTTGGGGTGGCGGTGAGAGGCTTAAAGGGCCAGCTCAGGCCCCGGCAGGGGGTGGGCTGAGTGGCAGAGAAGCGTGTATGCAGGGTTCCACACACATGATTTCCACCACTGTTTCAGATCCTTGGGGGCTTTGCCCCAGGGCAGAAGGAGACCACCCCACCCTCAGACAGCCTTCCATCCCTCCCTGAGCCAGATGGGGGACTCAAGTGTCTGATCCCAGACCGGGCTGTGTGCAGAGGGGAGCTTCTGGGCTTCGGCTGCTTTGGTGTGGTGCACCGAGGGCTGTGGACACTGCCCAGTGGCAAGGCTGTGAGTCTCCAGGGAGCCTACTTCATTCTGGGTACCTGGGCCAGCTTCTCCCTCTGTTCTGTGTGCCTCTCTGCTCTGGCCTTGGCTTAACTCTTCCCTACGTTGCCTGATGGTGCTTGCCCCCACCCTCAGGTCCCAGTGGCTGTCAAGTCCCTCCGGGTGGGTCCCGAAGGCCCCGAGGGCACTGAGCTAGGGGACTTCCTGCGAGAGGTATCCATCATGATGAACTTGGAACACCCACACTTGCTGTGTCTGCACGGCCTCGTACTGGGCCAGCCTCTGCAGATGGTGAGCAGACCCAGACGCCGGCTCCCGGGACAGTCCCGCGGGCCGATGTACGACAGGAGGGTGAGCGCCAGGGTCTCGTGGGGCCGGACCACCGCTCTCACGGCTGTGCTCCCACAGGTGATGGAGCTGGCGCCCCTGGGCTCCCTGCATGCACGCCTGACCGCCCCGGCCCCCACGCCCCCGCTGCCCGTGGCCTTGCTCTGCCTCTTCCTGCGGCAGGTGGCGGGGGCCATGGCGTACCTGGGGGCCCGCGGGCTGGTGCACCGAGACCTCGCTACGCGCAACTTGCTGCTGGCTTCACCGCGCACAATCAAGGTGGCTGACTTCGGGCTGGTGCGGCCGCTGGGCGGCGCCCGGGGCCACTACGTCATGGGCGGACCCCGCCGCATCCCCTACGCCTGGTGAGGGGCCGGGCGCAGGGGAGGGATCTGAAGGGCAGGAGCTGAGGGGCTGCGGTGGGGCTGGTCCTCTGAGGGAGGCGTGGACTGGAGGAGTCGTCGTCGGGTCTGAAAGGGCCAGGAAAGGAGGACTTCTGAGCACCACGGCGGGCGCACTAAAGGGGCGTGCCCAGTGGCAGGTGGGCGCTCCGGGGCACACACCCGGCACACATCCAGCCCCCTTCAGCTCCGCTTCCGCAGGTGTGCGCCGGAGAGCCTGCGCCACGGGGCCTTCTCTTCTGCCTCGGACGTGTGGATGTTTGGGGTGACGCTGTGGGAGATGTTCTCCGGGGGCGAGGAGCCCTGGGCCGGGGTCCCGCCGTACCTCATCCTGCAGCGGCTGGAGAAGGACCGAGCCCGCCTGCGTAGGCCTCCGCTCTGCTCCAGGGCCCTCTATGCCCTCGCCTTGCGCTGCTGGGCCCCCCACCCTGCTGACCGGCCCACCTTTTCCTACCTAGAAGGGCTGCTCCAAGAGGTGGGAACTCCTGCCTCCCCAGAAACACTCAGTCTCTTTTCCCTCCGTTCCCTCTCCCAGGGTTCCATGCACAAGACTAACGTATACCGGTTCCCGGGCTGGGGTCTGGGACCAGGCTCTGAACAAAGCAGAACCAGTCCCCGCCTTCAGGGTGCTCAGAGCCCCAGGGAGACAGCTGGGGTCTAGTGGATGCAGGCTGAAGGGCCGGGGGCTGGAGCAGAGAGAGGGAAGCCCAGAGTCCAGAGCAGTAGGATGTAGCGGGTGTTTGACAGGCAGAGGAAAGGTTCAGCGTGGGAGGGGGAAGCATGGCGATTGAGGTGGCGGAGGCATGTTAGGGGCACACCAAGGAGGGACTTGTGAGACACGGTAGATAACCAGCGCTAACACCTAGAGCACTTGACCTGCGTAAGATACTGTACTAAGTGCCTTACGTGTATCCTCATAACATGTTCACTCATTTAATCCTCACAACAACCAAGCTCGATTTTAGAGAGGGGGCAGTTAAGGCACTGACAGTTTAAGTGATTTGCCAAAAGTCACACGGGAAGTGGAGGACTGGAGATTTGAGTCAGTCAATATGACTTCAGAGCTGTGCCCTAAATCACTATATACTCTACTATTAAAGGAGTTTAGTCTTTAACTCTGAGGGCACCTGGGGGCCATGGAAGGGTTGTGAGCAGGGAGTTATAAGCCACATTTCCAGGTTATGTCACTCTGGTTTGGTGCAAGAATGGATTAGAAGGACGGTACTGAAGGTAGGAGAACCAGTAGGCCACAGTGGCTGTGAAGCAGAAGAAAGACAAAGAGGTCTGGATGAGGGTCGAGGCAGTGGTGCTATGGAGAAGTGGAAAATTCCCAGAGGTGCTTGGGAGGCAGATATGATGGGCCTGGGTGTGGAGTAAAAGCAGTGTGCAGGGTGACTCTCCCCTTGGTCCCCTAGGTAGAGGCAGGGTCCCCCTTTGTTGCTCCCTGACTCCTGGGCTGTGTCCAGCTTGGTATGGGATCCAGGTCTGCCTCCTCCACTGGATTACAATTGAGGGACAGGGACAGTCCCACCCTGGGGCCAGGGCAGAGGACATACCTGGTATGGGTTTGCTTGGTGGGTGCATGAACAGTCTCCACTCTGCTCCCACGATATTACCGTTCTGACTCAGGCCACAAGCCCAGCCACCCACTCCTCCTGTCTCTATAGGCCTGGCCTCCTGAGGGACGTTGTGTGAGGGATGTCACAGAGCCCGGTGCTCTGAGGATGGAGCCTGGTGACCCCATCACTATCATCGAGGGCAGGTGAGGGCCTCGTGCCTCCCACCCGTCGCCAGGGGGAGGACTCCCTCCCCACCCTCCTGGCCCTGGTCCCAGCTCAGCTTCTCCCCAGCTGCTTGAACCCCAATCCTCTGCCTCATCTCCTCCTCTCCCCGCTGGGCCCTGAGAGCTCCACCACAGTCCTGGCCTCCCTGCTGGAGCCACCGCTGGCCCATAGAGCCCTTTTGTTTTAGAGAGAAAAAAGCTTCCCTTCCTCCGGGCAGATGCAGCTCCATGGTGCACAGCTTGTGAGCTGAATGTGGGCTGGAGCCCAGCCCTCACTCTCCCCTGGCTCCCATCCCCTTCACCAGCACCTCTTCCCACAGCCCCAACTCCACAACCTGGAAGGGCCAGAATGGTCGCACATTCAAAGTGGGCAACTTCCCAGCCTCGGCAGTGACGCTGGTAGACTCACCAGCCACCCGTCCAGTCCTCAGAGGCTCCCCTGCCCGGGGAGAGCGACACCAGGGAAACATAGATGGGTGAGGACCTGAAAGAGTGGGGGGCAGAGCTGGACTGGGGGAACCAACCAAGTCTAGCAACTTCTCTGGAAGGGGAGCCTGGAGAGGGGGTTGGGGTAAAGCTGGAGGGGAGGCTGGACTTGCCTTCCCGCTGGAGCTTCCACTCTGGGTCTCAGCCTGCCTGGAAGCCCCAGAGATTCTTTGGGAGAGGGCACTGCTATATGGGGTAGGGCTGGGGGGTGTGGAGAATGAACTGGAACACTCTCCAACAGGGACAGAGTGAAGGTAAAGCTTCGGGATCCCCCTCCAGGTCGGGGCCAGAGAAGGAATGTGTCCCTGCAGAGGATGAAAGGTGGGCATGGCAGTGGGGACAGGGCTTCCAGGGTCTCCGAGGACTTCAAGGATAAGCCTCTGGCGATGCCCCCTGCTCTGAAGCCCTGCCTTTGCAGACATGATTTCCCCACCTGTGATTTCCTGGCCCCCATTCTGCCTGCTGACATCCTGGCTGTACTTTAGACAGCGTCTCCCCACTGCAGCCCCTGGCAGTTCTTTGGACCCTCAGCTGCTTCAGCCTGGGCGTCCATCCCGCACACCTGGTTTCTTGTCCCCCCGACACAAAGACCACCCCGAGGACAGCACAGATAGCCAGAGAATGGGAAGAAGGCAGCTGGGCTTCCTCTCAAGTTATTTTTTCTCAAATGTGTAGGCATTTCCAAGAGTCTGGAGTCGGTTCTGTCCCTGGGCCCCCGCCCCACAGGAGGTGGGTCGAGCCCCCCCGAACTTCGACATGCCAGAACTGTGCCCCAGGGACCCCCAGGCGTGCCCCCCTGCTCCCCCGTAGCCACCAGCTCCTCTTCCCAGCCCAGCCAGCCTCCCAGGGAGCGGCCTCCCTGGCCCAAAAGAGAACCCCTACACAGTCACCCTGTGGGAGCGCCTGGAGCCAGCAAAGCCACCGTCCCCTCTGGGGGACCCTTGCCTGACCCTGAGTTGCAGAAGAGGATTATGGAGGTGAGGTCTCCCTGAAGTGTCCTGGTGTCCAAAAGGGGCTGTGGGCTGGCGAAGGCCTAAGTGAGGCTTTGTCCCCGGCAGGTGGAGCTAAGCGTGCATGGAGTCACCCACCAGGAGTGCCAGGAGGCTCTAAGAGCCACCGGGGGTGACGTGGTTTCTGCCATCCGGAACCTCAAGGTACAGCCACACCCTTCTCTCGGGTCCCTGCCCCTCCCAGCCTGGCCCTCTGGCCACCAGCTGCCCTTCCTCTCGTCCCCACAGGTGGACCAGCTCTTCTATCTCAGCAGCTGGTCCAGAGCGGACTGCCGGCGCATCCTGGAGCGTTACCAGTGGGACCTCTCAGCCGCCAGTCGCTACGTCCTGGCACGGCCCTGAGCTCTGCTCCTTTGGGCACAGACACCAGATGGACCAAGGGCCTGGTCACGTGGGACCAAGCAGAACCGGAACAAGGTCCTGACAGGGTGTGTTCCCACCTGGGGAGAGCCTGCCATGGGCAGGTACCGGAGGAGCCCAGGATCGGGCACTGGTGAGTGTCTCCTCACCCTGCCCATTGGTCTCTGAGGGCGTGAGCTCCCTTGGCCATAGGAGGATCTAGTGCACTCTGCCCACCACATTCCCAACAAAGGAGGACTTGGAGGAACAGAGCTGCGACACATCACACCCATGGGAAGCTTCTATCGCTACAGAAAATGAGCAAGAGGCCATTCTGGGCCACGGGAACAACCATCCTGAACTGCCATCAGCTACCACACTGGGCTCTGTGGGAGCAGCCATCCTGGATGACCGGAGCAGCCATCCTGACTTGGGGCATATGGACCAAACTGCCTTGGCTTGGTCTGGGGCCATCATGGGTGATGAAAGTGGCTCTCTTGGACCCGAGGACACTTGATCCTGGCAGCATGGATTATTAGATGGGCCAGCCCCCGCCCATCCAAGCTGTCATATTTCCCTTTGTTTCTTCCCACACCCAACTCTTTCTCCCGCCCTCTCCCATTATATACATCTTCCAATGTCCAAAAAGTTACAAAGTTTATATGAATATAACATACAAAGATGCAGCCTCCTTCCTAAGGAAGGGGTAGGAAGGGGTGGTAAGGCACAGGAAGTTGCAGCAAGCACCAGCTGAGGGAGAGGAAGTCGGCATTGGGGCCCTGGCCCTATAGCTAACGGCGGCGGGGAGATAGGGATCCCCCTCAGAACGCCATCATCTGAGGCTGAACTAACTGGCCAAGCTGATGCGGGGAGAGGGTGACCGGGGGGTCTGCCGTCTTCAGTGCTGCTTGACCTTCCCCACCCCAGCCCTGTCATAAAACCCTGCATTCTAAGGCCTCATCTGGAGCAGAGGCCCTGGAGGGGGGTGGGAGAAAGTCAGCAGGGAGAGTTGGAAAGCCGATATGCCAGTGTGCTGAGGGTCTGCTGCAGGCAGTGGTGGGAAGTAACAGGGGAAGGGCTCTTGTACATACCCTTCCGGAGGGGCTATAGGTGAAGCAGGCCAGGGGAGTAGGGGAGGCGTGGGGCACGGAGCCTCCAGCCTCTCAGGCAGCCCTGTCTCTCCCCTGCAGTGCGCATGGAGGGAAAGGGGCTGCCTCTGAGGAGGGGCCAGGGCGGGTGACCATCTTGAATTCTGGTTGAGATGATGGTCTCCTCACCCCGAGGTGGCCTCTAACTGGTGATGGCAGAGGGCCCAGCGCCTCCTCGCTTCTCGAAGAACAGGTAGTCCTGAGGGAAGGGCACGGTCAGCAGGAGATCTGGCTGGGCCAGCCTGGCTCAGCTATCACAACCAGGTCTGGAACCACAAGCCCCCATAGAGTCTGTCCCTAACCCTCTCCTAGCAGGAGACCAAGAAGTGCTCAAAGCCTCAGAGTAAGAGCAAAAGGGCAGCGGGGGGAAGGGGCGGGGGCCCCGACTCACAATGAGGAATGTGGCTCCCAGCAGCACAGCCTTCACCCTCACGTCCAGGTCCAGTGGGAACTGCAGGCCGAAGTCATCTGCATCGGTGAGGGCTTCTCGGAGCAGCCCACCCCACTGCTTGCTGATGCGGCCCACACTGCGGGATTCATCTGGAGTCTTCACCTGGCAGGAGAGAAGGAAAGAGGGAGGGAGGGAGGACCCGCACGGGGAGGATGTGCCTGATCTCATCGGCATCCAGTCTCACTCCCACAGTCACCACATACGAACTGTGCAGGCTCTACACTTAGCGAGTCCTCCCAAAGCCTTGGGTTTCCATGTGACATCTGGGGAAACTGAGGCACCCGAGGTCACACGGTGAGTACACAGCAAAAATCAGGTTGCAGACTCAGATCTGTTGTTCTTGAAAGGCCACATATGACTACTAGACATCAGTGCTGGGAGAAACAGAAGCACAATACAGTCTAATCTCCTTAGAGGATGGCCAGTCACTAGGTTTGTTTTGGTTACCAAAGTCCCTGCCGCCCACGGTTTGTGCAGTTTGTGCCCTGCACAGAGTAGCCTGGCCAAGCGGGCAAGGGAGGCTGCTAAATGCCTGGCTGCACTCTACCAGCTGACCAGGCTGCTAGAAGGCCCAAAGGGGTGCCTGCCGTCCTCGCATCTGCAAGGTAGGGAGGACTCTTTAGCATAGCATGCAAGCCTCATCCAGGGTGGATCCAAGCCCATCTAGTGGGGGGAGGGGACAGCAGAAAGTGGCCTCTGAGGACCAGGATTTCCACTGGCCTCCCTAGGCCCAGCAGCAACAGGCCCTGCCAGTGTGGGTGGTAATTCACCGTGACTCCCTGGACTTTTTCCTATGCTCATTCTCCAGTGGCTAGAACTAGAGCGATGTCCTTCCCATCTCCTTCCCCCATGGTCCTACAGCCCTGGGCCATTTCCTGCAGACCAGTCCCAGGGTGGGTAGGGCCTCTCCCAGTCAGCCCTGCGGTCCCAAGAGTGCAGCCCCAAATGTGGACCATTCATAATTATGTAAAAGGAAGACTGGCCCGATGAGAACCCCACAATCTACATATTCCCAACCAGAGTTCACCCAGTTACCTCTTTCCCAACCAGTTCCCATCACAGAACCTTCCCCCAGCTACCAAGATGACTCAGTTTTTAAAAGTAACCTAAGATAAGGTACATCATCAGAAGCCTTGGAAAGTCTACTGGGATATACCTGTTGTTTCTCCCTTATCTACACAGATATTCAAGTGCCTTTGTCTTCTAGAAAGTAAGGTGTTTCCCAGGCCTTACTTTGAAATGGTCATCACTTGGGTTCTCCAGGCTCCAGGTTGGTGATTGAAATGCATGGTAAGAAGGATTCCAGGCTGGGGGTGGGTGGGTGGACGTCTGGACTTATCGGTTGGCAGGGCAAGCCACAGGATGTTAACAAGTTAAATTAGTGCTTGCTCCAGGGCTTGGGCTCACGAACTCACGCAGCGGCCATGCGGGCCCAGCCCACGGTACACTCAGTAAGCATCCTTCACCCTAAATCCAGCCTGATCTTAGATTTTTTTTTTCTCCCTCAACACAGGGCTGTGGGTCACAATCAGCATTGGCCCTTAAGGTGAAACCCTCTTTGCCATATTTTTATAGGACCATGGGCCATCCTATTTCTGAATAGAGGAAAACTGGAAATGTGGTAGGCATCCCATCACAGTGGATTTGGACTGATGAGCTCTTGACCGTCCTGTTGGCCATCCTGCCGCACGGATCATCTTGGTTTCTGAAGGTCCCAGGAATCTCCCCTTATTCCTGATACCTCAAAGTTGGTGTCTGTGCCACAGCCACAGGTCCAGCAGGGCCCCACCACTCGCAGGACGGTCTTCCGGTCAGCATCTTGGATGGAGAACTTGGGGAGGAAGGGATGCCAGGTCTGTAGAACGTGGCCAATGGTGGTGCCTGGTGGAGCCTGTACTTCCATCTGGAGTGGGCAGCAGACAGGATCACTGCCCAGCCAGACATCCTGGCCCAAGCGCTCACCGGTCTAGCTTTATCACCTGTCTCCCCTCACAAGACCTCCCATCCCCTTCACTAGACCACCTGTCATCCCTCTCACTAGACCTCCCATCCCACCTGCGCCCAGCTCCCACAGGAGGCACGCCTCATCTCATGCCTCATCACGGTCGTGCCCCGGTCATCGGCCTGCCCCCTACCGAAGTTTCTCCCTGGCCCCATCCTTCCCCGCCCACCTCCTGGAGGCCACAGGGACAGCAGCTGCAGCCACAGTGGAGGGGGCGGAGCAGGCGCAGCACCTCTCTGTCCCCGGGGTCCACCAGGCGTACACGCAGGGGCCGGCGGGCGCCACAACATAGCCGCGCACAGCAGTTGCTCTCCTCTGCCGCCTGACCCAGGGGCTGTCCGGCTCCCGAGCGCAGTTCGTAGCGGTTACAGGTCTCCCAGCCCAGGAGCGCTGCCAAGGGGTGACACACTGAGGCTCGGACACCAGCGCCTGCCCAAGAGCCCACTATTTGCCCCCGTCACGAGGCCCAACATACTCCTCCTTCCACTCACTTTCCACCCGCTCAGCCTTCTGGTGAATCAAGATCTGATCAATCTGGAAAGAGAGTAGGGGAACGCACAGACATCAGCTGGCCGGCCTAGTCGCCTGGGTCCCCTCCCTGTCACTCCTCCCTCCCTCCCTCCCTCCCTTTCACTCACCTGCGCCAGGAATTCGAGGCCAAAAGGCACCCCTGGCAGTGGCAAAAAGGGGGCAGCTGGTCCCGGGGCCCCAGGGCCGGGCGAGGGAAAGCTGCCCCGGCCCGGGCCCAGGATGCAGCGTCGGCTCCCGGTACCCAGCGGTCACAGGGTAGGGAGGTGGGGGCGAAGGGGCGTAGCCTGTGGGGGGCAAGTAGCCTGTGGGGGGACAGGAGTAGGTTAGAAGGGGCCCCCGACCTCATCTCTTTACCCCTTGGCCCATGGGCCGCGAGGCTGCGGGGAAAATGTGGTGGGAAGAGAATGAGAAAGATGGGGCGGGGGAGCAGGGCGGCGGCTTCTCGGGAGGAAGGGAGGGGCCCCACACAGCGAGTCCGAGCACATTCCCGGAGGATGCGTCCGACACCGGGTTCCCAAGTCCGTGGTGGGGGAGCGGATAACGGAGACCCTCGGCCTCTCGACCACTTACCTGCCATGGGAGAGGGGCGAGGGTTCGCGGGATTTCGCTGTCCCGGAGGCTTAGTTCTAGAAGTGGAGGCAAGCTCGGAGACAGCCAGACAGACACAAAGACAGACACAAAGATGGACAGGCAAACGCAGAGCGGCAGCTGCGCCCAGCGCCGGCCCAGGGTCTCTAGGGCGGCGCTTCTGACTCGGGGAGAAACCGAAAGTGTCAGCGGGCAAGGCGGGGGCCCTGGGACCCTGGATTCCCTCAGGGGCCCCAGAACCGCCCCCTCCCTTTGTTCTCCCATTCTCCGCAGAGGCGGCTGTTGGCAGACGGCAGGACAGATGGACCCGCGGTCAGACCGACGGCCCCACCTCAAGGGAGGTCTCCTGACCCGTTCCCCCTGCTCACCTGAAGCCCCTAGAATAGCCCGGGTGCCCAGCACTCGGCAGCTCCCGAGAGCTGGTGGAGGCGGGCCCAGGAGCTGGCTCCACCCCCCGCCCCGTCCAGGCCCCGCCCCTCCCAGCCTAAGCACGGCGCCTGCGCAGGAATACTGCCGGCTCTCCTGCGGCGCCGGGGACTCCAGGCCACCGGCTTCACGGTTTGGCGGGCGTCCCCGCCCTTTCCGCTCGGATGCAGGAGCCCAGAGAGGAAGCTCGCCTGGGAGGGTAGCCGGGTGAGCCCTATCCCTAAAACTCCTGCCAGGCCTGCGGGCGCAGAGTGGTCAGTGCCCCTTGGTGGGAACAAGGGCCGCTTGCGCGGCTCTGGAGCCCAGGCTCCTCCTCCCGAGGGCGGTTCGGGCCTCGCTGACGCAGCTGAACGCCTTGCACACTCACCCATTGGCTTCTAGGACTGACTCCTGGCTCCCCTTCTGCCTCGCTGGGGCCACCTTGCCAGTCTCCTCTCCCTGACGTAGCAGTGACCCACACAGACCCGTTGCAATTATAGTACTTCGGGCAGGCGCCCCCAGCCACACGGGGGATAGACTGCCAGACGGTGTCAGTAACGAGTGGGCGTGAGGTGAGGCTCAGGGGGGCCAGAGGAGACAGCGCGGTCCGCAGGAAAGCGTTCTCCCAACAAGAATCGCTTCTTTCGCTTTGAGTCCTGAGCCCAGGCCCGCAGGAAGTGAGGAAGTCCTGCGCCTTGGGGGCCTATAGGCTGAGCGGCAAGAGATGAGTTCAGAGTCCGGCCCACATGCACACAGGGCCTTGTGGGAGCTGCGCTTTGGCCCCCAGGGCAGTGGGGAGCCCACTCTGATTTTCAGTCAGAGGGAGAAGCTCAGATGTTTTAGGAAAACCATTTAACCTGTATGGTGGAGACCAACAGAGGCCCCCAGGCTGGGTTGGCAGTAGTCTGTGGGAGAGGATGGTTGTGATAGTGTGGACAGACAGAAGAGGCAGATTTTGGAGATATTTAGACAATAATATAGAACTTGTTTGTGAAGTGAGATGTGGAGGTGAGGAGTCCAGGATGACCTCAGGTGCCTGTCTGGTGACCAGGCAGATGGTGGTCTCACCCATCAAGATGCACATAGGGAGAAGCAGGTTTGGCGGCTCCTTTGTCCCTATGTCCATGTTCCTCTGGGCTGGTCCTACAGCTTCAGTCATCATCTTCAAACCCAAATGCTGGACCTCTCCCCTGGTATCCCTTAGTGCCTCAGATTCTACCTGGCCCAAACCACGCGCCAGCCTCCACCAAAACACAGACACAAAAGTTCAGTTATTCAACAGAGATTTAATGAGCCCCTACTATATGTCAGTCAGGTAATAGAAATATTTAGCAGTTTTTAAAAATTCCCAGTCTCCTGGGGTTTACATTTTAGTGGGGAAGAGACAATGTACATAAAATACATCAGAAGTCAGACGGTGACAAGTGCTATAAAGAAAAACAGAGCAGGATAAGAAGGACAGAGAATGGTGGACAAGAGTTGCAATTTTATAGGGGACAGACTAGAAAGTGATGGCTGAGCAAAGACCTAAAGGAGGTCAAGGATTAAGCCATGCAGACTTCTGGGTGAAGAGTTTTTCAGACAGAGGGAACAAGGGCAAAGGCCCTGAGGTAGAAGTGTGCCTTGTTTGTTCAGTGAACCAAAAGGCCAGTGTGGCTGGAATGGAATGAACGAGGCGGAGGAAAGAGAGGTCACAGGAGGCCACATCACATACAGCCCTGTAGACCGTTGGCTTCTACTCTGAGTGAAATGGAAAGTGTTGGAGGGTTTGGCCAGAGAAGAGACATGAGATTTACATACTGAGACAGTGTTCCTCAACCCCGGCCACAAGTTCGAATCATCTGGGGTGCTATAAAAATACCTCTAGCTGGGCCCCACTTCATAGCAATTACATTAGAATATCTGGGGTGAGGTGCAGACATAGGAACTTTTTGAGAATTCCCCGGCAGATTTTAAATTGCAGCTAAGGCTGAGGGTGACAGTGTTAGAAGGATTTCTCTCTGTCTCTTTCTCAGGCTGCTTTGTCCGCAGTAGGCTGTAGGTAGGCAAGGGCAGAGGGAAGTTCTTTCAGAAAGCTAGATGAGATTTGCAGGTGGCGTGGACCAGCTGCCAGAGTGGTAGCAATGGAGATGGTGAGAAATGGTCAGTTTCCAGTTATGTATTTGAGCCAACAGGACTTGATGATGGCTTGGATATAGAATGTGAGGAAAAGGGGAGTCAAAGTTGACTCAGGCTTGGCCCAGGAGACCCTTCACTCTTACTGCTTTGTCATTTCCTGCCTGCCCACTCCATCCTGAGCTCCAGGCACTCCAGTTCTCCTCCTGACTTGTTACCAGTATAATCTTGTCCCTTTTTCTGGTGAACTATGCATGCTGAAAACCCAGCAAATGCGCCAAAGTCTTACCAGTCTCCTAAGGCAAACAAGCCCACCTCAGTATCTACTTGTAACACTGAACACATTGTTATCAAATTATTTTTTAAAGGGTCTGTCTCCACTGCTGAAATCTGAGTTTCTTGGTATGTACAAGAAGGAGAAAGCTCAGCTTTGGGAACTGGACAGAAGAGAGTTTGAATCACAGCTTCCCCAGGTCCTGGCTGTATGATACAGAAGTTGCTTCACCTCTCTTAGCTTCACTTTCCACTGACTTGCAGGACTGGACACAATGCGCAGCAATAATAGGGACCAATTACCACGTGGTTCTTATTTATCTTGGTTTTCCAAGAGTCTGACCCACAGGGAGGATCAAAGCAAAGGTATTAGGGATATATTACATGGACGGTGGCCATGCCAAATGTCAGGGTCTCCTCCAGCTGGAGGTTCCCTGCGCTCCAGATGCTGCCTGAGATGAAGGGTGGATGGAAATGCAGCAGGGGCACTGAACTGGGAAGTAGGAGCCTGGGGATCCAGTGTCAGCTCTGCCACTGGCACTCTGGACCACTCTGGAGGTCCCCCTGAGGCCTTATTTTACTCTATTTTATTTTATTTTGGCCGCACCGTGCGGCTCGTAGGATCTTAGTTCCCCAACCAGGGATTGAACCCAGGCCCACAGCAGTGAACTCGCAGAGCCCTAACCACTGGACTGCCAGGGAATTCCCCTCTTTATTTAATTTTTTTTTAATTTACTTATTTGGCTGCACTGGGTCTTTGTTGCGGCACGCAGGACCTTCATTCCAGCATGTGGGATCTTTTTTTTCGTTGTGGCCTGTGGGCTCTTTAGTTGCGGCATGTGAACTCTCAGTTGCGCATGTGGGGTCTAGTTCCCTGACCAGGGATCAAACCGGGCCCCCTGCACTGGGAGCATGGAGTCTTAGCCACTGAACCACCAGGGAAGTCCCTCCCCTCATCTTTAAAATGAAGAGATATTGTGATCCCCTACTAATACACCTCAAGTGTATGCCTCCTCCCTGGATATAAATGCTTCAGTGGCTCCCCATTGCCCTCAGAAGGGTCTAACCTCTCAGCACAAGGCATTCCACCATTTGGCCCCGTCTGTCCTCATCTTTCACTACTGACCCTCTCATGATCTTCAAGCCAGCCACCAGCAATTCTTTCTGGTCTTGAAGGCACAGGGCTCTCTTGCCTCCAAGGCTCTTGCCTTGGTCTGGAACACACCGCTCTCCCTCATCACTTAACTCCTGTAGGTCTCCACTGAACACTGTACACTGCAGCTGCTACAGGGGTCTGGAGCTTAGCCAGGACTAGGGTCGGAGATAAATTCTGGATTTAGAAATATGCAGATTGTAATTAAAGCTATGGGGCCAAATGAAATTACCTAGAAACCGTCTCAGCTAAACGGTCTGCACTTTTTTGAATGCACACCATCAGAAAAATTAAGTATGTACCCCCCAGTATACTATACAGATATGCACATTTATAAAATATACACAAAAATAGAAATTTTAAAAGGTGAAATTAAAATATATATACCTATGAGTTCTACTTTTTTTTTAATTAAAATTTGGAAACCATTGATTTAAATTGGGTATAGACAAGAAGCCGGCAAAGGAGCCACAGAGATAGGGAAGACCAGGAGAGTGGTGTCAGAGAAGGAACAGGATGTGTTCGAGGACAGTGTGGCCAACTGTGTCAAATGCTGCAGAGGCTGAGGAAGATGAGACTGAAAATCATCCACTGGGTCTGGCAACCAAGAGGTCACAGTGATTCATGGGATCCTTCCAAGGGCATCTATGGGGAAGAGATGGGATAGAAGACTGACCAGAGTAGGTTACAGAGTAAACTTGAGGCCAGCTCTCTCTCCTGAGCTCAGACACCTCCCTGAGCTCCCCAATTACCTGCTTGGTGCCTCCACTTGGATGTCTCCCAGGCATTTCAGAAGCAACATGTCCAAAACTGACCTCCTGATCTGCCTCCCTCTAATCTGCCCCACCCTTCAGTATTTCTCATCTAAGTAACAGCACCTCCATCCAGCCCAGTGCGTAAACCAGAAATCTCCCTCTCATTCACCCCTTCTGAACTGAACATTTTTACCACCTCTTCCACCCTCGGCCAAGCCACCGTCACCGTCTCACACCTGGACCTCTTTAGTGGCCTCCTGGCTGGTTTCCCTGTTGCCATCCTTGCTGTCCTGATTGGTTCTCCAGATCTTTTAAACACATAAATCAGATCCTAGCACTCTCTCACTTTAAACCTTTCAATGAGTTAACTGTTGTGCTGCAAATAATTCTGAGTGCCTCACCACACCACACGTCAGCCACGCTGCTTTTGCTTTCTCCAACCCGCTCAGTTCTCTCCTGCCTCAAGGATTTCAAACTGCTCCATTTCGGCCTGTTTGCCAGGTATTCTTTCTGCCAAAAACACACTTCCCCTCCACTCTGGGCATGGTTAGTTCCAGCTTCAACAGGACATCCTCTGCGAGGCCTTCCCATCTAAAGGGGCACACCCTCCACTGCCCCATTTTTCCAGCCCCACTGTTCTTTTCTTTCGAGCACATAGCATACCTCACAGTGATATATTTGTGTTTAGTTGTTTAAGGTCTGTTTCCTGTACCAGATGGGAAACCCCACGAGGGAAACATGGTGTCTGTCTCATGCACGGTTCAATTTTCTTGTAACATGTGTCTGACACATGACCAACACTTGATGAGCACTGGCTTAATAAAAATTGCCCACTAAATACCCTCCAGTTCTCTGTAGGTGCTACTCCCGCCCACCTTGCCACCTTTTCTCATTCCTCTCCTGCCTAAGTCAGAAACTCATCCCACACGGAGGACTCAGGTGGCCCCATACCCCTCCCCTCCCACCTGTCTCTTTGTTCACTGTTTCAGCCACACAACAGAGCTCTTTTAAGAATCATCTCAAGCACTGTGAAGCATTTTCTGACCCCCAATACATGATGTTCTGTCCCTGCTTTGAACCCCAAAGTATTTTGTAAGTAATGACACCTCATCCCGCCTTGCCTTAACCCTGACTTCTAGAGTAAGGGGCTGCTCAAAAAACCGTCTACCCGGATACCAAGGGGGAAAGGGGTGGGGTGGGAGGAATTGGGAGACTGGGATGGACACATATACATTATTGATACTATGTATAAAATAGACAACTGATGGGAATACACTATATAGCACAGGGAACCCTACCTAACGCACTGTGGTGACCTAAATGGGAGGGAAGTCCAAAAGGGAGGGGATATCTGTATGTGTATAGCTGATTCATTTTGTTGTGCAGTGGAGGCTAACACAACATTGTAAAGCAACCATACTCCAATAAAAAATTAAAAAGGAAAGAAAACCCACCACCCTACAGAAATCTAGGATTAATGCTAGTGAGCATCAGAACCACAAGATGAGCTTATTAGAATACAGATTGCCAGGCCCTGAAGAGGGCTTTGGTAAGAATCTGCATTATTTCAAGCATTCTTTATGACTCTAATGTCCACCAGTTTAAGAACCTCATAACAAGTTAACTTGAAGTGAACCCTGACTCTCCACCCAGGCCCAAGTCTCGCTGATTCGGTCATAGGAAAGGGAAGGAGTTCAAAGGTTGACAATCCCTACCCTTCCTCCTTTAAGAGGTTAAGATGAACAAAGACTCCGAAGTTCTTTATTTGCCTTTCTCTTTTAATCCCCTCCCTGCTCCACTTCTAAAAGGAAGTACCCAGAAATTAAACAC